GAGAGCCGCAGGTGGCTCTTTAGTGTGTCTCCTGCAGCTCTTTGCCTCACGTGATATTAAAACACTGTGTGATTTCATTATTAACCAATCAAGATTCTTTTACTATGTTATTAACCAATTATAGTTGATAAAATAATACTTGGCCAGTCATTTTGCCATGAGAATAATATATATAGTAAATGAAACAATGAATTCACACTACTGTGGCTCTTTTGGGTAATGCTGATCTCTAATTTGGCTCCTGAACCACTGAGATCTGAGTATCACTGCTCTAGAACATGACAATTCTATCTAGGTAGGGCAACATACCTCCATGTCTGATACTGGAGGAAGAGAAGACATGGAGGGTTAAGTGAAAAGAGAAGGGCTAGTGTAAAGTGGTGAGGTGGCCTCTACTCCTCATCCACAAAGGAAAGCTGTACAACACCTTCAAAAGACAAGCCTGGGAGCTTAAATTCATAATTTTCCTAGACACTAAAAATCATGGACTGAATAGACACACTGGATTTTCCCCGACTTTTGACTGCAGAGATACTAACTGCCCACTTCACCTTGAATAGTTTCTTGCAAAATGTGTTAATTTCAGATGCTAAACCAACTGTTCCACCTTGTATTTAGCTGTGCCACTCTGAGTACATTTCCCAGACCTGAAGAAGTCTGTGTAAGCTCAAAAGCTGGTATCTCTCACCAACAGAAGCTGGTCCAATAAAACATATTACCTCCCCGACTTTGCTTCCAGTGGGCATTTTCAACTAATTCTTAATTCATAGTTAAGGCTAGAGTTTGGTGGTGGCCTCTTCTGCAAAAATCCAGTTCAGTAGGTAGCTGGGACCATTACCAAAGGTTCTGTCCTTGTCCCCTGTAGCTCTGCCAAAGCTCCTTTGCTTTGACATAGCACTGTTCCATGTCCTGGACATATCCCTTCTTCACTTGCTCTGCAATCCACTTGTAGATCTTGATGTTCTGATGACTGTTGTTCAGATGGGACTGGACAAGCTCCTTTCCTAAGAGGAAAAGGAAGTTAAGGACCTCCTGATGGGATCACACAGAAGCACAGGGCATGGCTGCTATAATGTGTATGCTACTCCGGGTTTGGGATCTTGTCACAAACTAGAATTGCAAATGTGTACATTTGTCTGTATGCCAGCAATTAAATGGGGAGGTGACATCTGCTCAGGATAACCCTGGAGCAGTAGAGGGCATGCAGGCCAATCCAGAAGTGAAGCAATGTACTCTAGGATAATAGTGAGAAGGGCTGCCAGAAGCAGCATAGTTAGTCCGAAATAGAGATGTGTCTACTAGAACCTCATACTGTATAATTATTCTGGAATATTTATGTCACTTCCAAAGCAAATTAAAGTGGGATAAGATAAATTGAAAAAAGAACTTGTGTGTGTAGAGGTGAATACCATCTGGTCCTCGTGACTTATTACTGTTTATCAGTTTGTTCCAAAACCTCCTCTAATGACACCTCAATTTGTGACAGTTCCTCAGATTTGTCACCTAAAAAGAATGGCTCAGGTTGGGGAATCTCCCTCGCATCCTGAGCCACAAAGAAGTCAAAGAATACAAATAATTCATTTAGTTTCTCCACAATGGCTTTATCGTCCTTGAGTGCTCCTTTAGCATCTCAATCATCCAGAGGCCCCACTGGTTGTTTAGCAGGCTTCTTGCTTCTGATGTACTTTAAAAAATGTTTTGCTATTACTTTTTGAGTCTTTGGCTAGCTGTTCTTCAAATTCTTTTTTGGCCTTCCTAATTATATTTTTACATTTCATTTGCCAGAGTTTATGCTCCTTTCTATTTTCCTCAGTAGGATTTAACTTCCACTTTTTAAAGGATGCCTTTTTGTCTCTCACTGCTTCTTTTACTTTGTTGTTTAGCCAGAGTGGCATTGGCCTATCTACATTGTGATGGGGTTCCATTAAAATTTAAAAATATGCACTATAATAAAAATTATAGTTTTAAAAGTTAAAATACGAAATTCATTTCAGGTAGGCATCTTGGAAGGAGGAGGGTTTTCAGAAGACACTTTTATGACTATAGTGATAGTGTCTATCAGCATGTCCAGGCACTTAAAATGACTTTAGGGGGAGGGATAGCTCAGTGGTTTGAGCACTGGCCTGCTAAACCCAGGGTTGTGAGTTCAATCCTTGAGGGGGCCATTTAGGGATCTGGGGCAAAAATTGGGGATTGGTCCTGCTTTGAGCAGGGGGTTGGACTAGATGACCTCCTGAGGTCCTTTCCAACCCTGATATTCTATGAATCTGTGTGGAAAGTTTACCTAGAATGACTATTAGATTTCTCCCGGTTAATAGTCAAGATTTCTTAAAATAGTTTTTGACGCTTGTGTGTTTGGTGGGAGGTCAGGGGAGGTAGGAGAAAAAGTGGTTTTCTCTTCTCCAGACATGTTAGATGTTTTACTGGATGGTGATGGATATTTTTCAGGTGTACAGTAGCTATTTAGAACTTACTGCTTTGGATACATGTGTCACAGATCTGGACAGGTACTCCTTTCTAGCCAGTCACTGGACTGCTCTGAAAGGAATCCAAGCTTCTGTGTTCCCTGGATTCCTAGGTATGTTAAGCTTATGGAGCATCAGCAGACTGCAGGCTCTCTTTCTTCCCTTGGCTTCTCTGGCATATTTCTTACCCACTTACTCTGTCTGCGACCCTATCATGGAAACATAGTCCTGCAGCCCATGTACCTTAGGCTCCTAGGACCGGTGCTGAACCCAAAGACACCCCCATTGCTTAAATGCATCCTGTCCCAGAACTCTACCCCAAAGGTATGGAGCGTGTGGTTACAATTTAACTTTCTCCAGACACATGCAGTGGATGAGAAGTATTTAACACAGAGAGAGAAAGGTACTTTGCACAGAGTCCAACATCTTAATGCTCTTTTACTTAATCATATAAAGCACAAGAGTACAGATGATACAAAACAATAAACTTCTAACACCATTGTAGCTCACTAGCTCACCCTTTCCTTGTGAGACCATCTGGGTCCACGCATGAAGGCAGGCTCCCCATGCTGGGTGGTTTCTCCTTCATGTATTGGCAAAATTGGCCCTGGAGCAGAACAGTTTCTGTTCTTTGAAAACCTTTTAGCCCCTTCTGTCAGGTGATATCCTTGCCATCCACCTGTATGAGCACAAACCTCTGCCAGGTGACTTTGTTGCCAAGGCGACCTCTCCCCTGCTAAACCTGTTCCCCTGGTTGGGAGCCAGTCTGTTATCTAGAGCAGTTACATTTCAATAGTCAAAGCATTTTAAGTCAATGACTCTTTTGTTATTCTTTTGCCGCCAGCCTTTGTATCTCAACCCAACGTGGAGGAAAAAAGACCATAAAGAAAGCAAAAGGCTGCACATTTAGAATGGAGTTTGAAGCTTGGTAATAATAAACAGAGTTAATAATCTTACACAGAATTCATACCTTGTACAGACATTCCCAAATAGTCATAACATTTAAGTCAGTGCAGAGAAGTTCTGGCTTGATCCAACTGAAAGGCTCCACCATGTTGACTGCTGGTCAACAGAAACTCTGAGAACTTCCTGTGCTTGCCAGCCATGCAGGCCATTGTCCTATTCTAAAAGGTAAGCCCCTCACCTCTAGCACCCACAGAATGCCAGAGAAGACATTTTATGGTCATGCTTTTTCCAGGCCAATCACCTCTGCTGAAAAGCCTTTCTCTTACTATACCAATCTCAATCCATCTGTCTTGTATGTTTGAGATTCTGGACACAAAATCTTGCTGGCCTCACTCGCACAATTCCCCTTAGCTTCAGTGGGAGTCTTGTGAGAGGAAGGTGAGCAAGATTTAACCTGGTGTCTTGCAGGGTACGGTCTGGATCTAATGTAAGCCCTGATCCTGCAGTCAAATTACATGGGCATATGCTTATATCCAGAGCAGTTCCACTGAAGTGAATGACGCTGCTTATGGATGCAAGAGTCTGACTGCACAAATCTGATTGCAGGATTGGGGGCTTAAATTGTAAGCCTCTCGGAGCAGGGGTTGTGTCCTCTTTTACATACCTGGCAAGCTTTAGGCACTAAGCAAATAGTTACTAAAATGGGAATTGTAAACTTGGGAATAATGTTTATTGAGACTCTGACATATTCAGGCCTGATCCAGCACTCATTAAAGCAAATGGGGAGACTTCCATTCGCTTCAGTGGAGGTTAGATCAGCTCTTCAGTGCATAAGTGGTGTTTTCCTTGGTTCAAGGAACATCTGTCAGCTGGGATGGAATTGTAAACATGCCTTGGCCTGAACCCATCTTCCCTGCACTTATCCCGAGTGATGGGTATTCTGTTTTGTTTTTTTTAAAAGACAAATAAAAGCAATCTCTGTCCAGAAGCTGACCCAGAACATGCCTCTCCAGTCATGGCTTTTCAGAGGTATTATGCTTGCTCAGGCTGTGTAACCCCAAGTGAGGAAATGGCCTTCCCTGGGAATCATGACTTTCATAGCATGGGAGGTATTTGCATAAGCTGTCATTTTCCATCTCTGCCCCCTGCTTTTGAGAACTGCACAGCTCCTGACCAAGGAGTAGGAATACTTTAGCAGTTTTTTGGCTTTCCCCTAGAGCTTCGGTTAGCTATAAAGCTTGCATCTGTTGTCTTCTGAGGCTTGTGCAGCCTGGAAGGCATGGATATTTAGTTCTGGATCAGGTCATTAATTTGAGGGATAGAACAATTTTGAGCATTACTTTTAAACTTTGAAGAAACTTATGTCTAGTTTGTCTTTTGTTGTTATGGTAGTGAGAAGCTCTGGACTCAGCCAGGCCAAAGAAAAGATGGGGTAAAAACCTACATAAAGATCTATTTCATGTTGCCTTTAAAGTTCCCTACATGGAAAGAATATGTATAAATTTGCACAGATTTTGGTCCATGTCCTTCAGCAGCTCAGAAGAACTGCCAAGAGATAAATGTAAACTTAAACTTGAGGGAGCAAGGAATACTTCTGCACAGTTGCATCAAATATACTCGGCTCTCTCCCCAAGACTTTAATATTTAAAATTAAAGAAGTTTCCTTCTTTTGTGCATGCATGGTTTTTTTTTTTTGCTGTCTACCATTCACACATATCTCCTTTGAAACTTTGCATCTATTTCTCTAACAGTTTTTTTCTTCTCCCTACTAGGCAAACATTTTGTTTTGCTGCTGTTCTAATGCTGCCATAGCCAAAGTGACTGCCTTTCATGACTTCTGTTTCTTAACTATTATTGTTACATTTTTTGGCAGTCTTAAAAAAATTTCTGGAAATTTAATTGTGATCGCAGACTGCCTTGCACTCCAGAAATTGCTGCTTCTTTGCTTGAGGACATACTAAAGTGTTTGAAAACTAGGAAGAGCTCAAACGAGATACACATTGATTCTGTTGCTGATCTCAGTTACACTTGTTTCAGTGTAATTTCCTTTGTGTTACTGAAGATTATTCCTGTGTAAGTGAGATCAGAATCAGACCATGATGTTTTGGTATGATTACAGCAAAGTAACAGCATTTGATTACTGTTTTGCATATTAATATGAGTGAATGATTTAAAATATCTTTTTTCTGTTTCTGCATATAATGTCATTTTGTTAGTGATGGGCAAAATCTAAACCCCATAGATCCAAATATCCTCAAACTTTCAGGAAGTTCACATCTAAACTTTCTGTCTGAGAGGGAGCTATCAACTAACTGTAGATTTGGCAAAATGCAGGTGTTTTTTTTATAATTTTGATGGATAATATTGATTTTCATTTTTAAATTTTATCAATTTAAATTTTCACAGTTGTGGGAAATTGGGGGTGGGGAGACAGTAATTACTGAATGACAGCAGACATTCAGGTTTCAGAATAGCAGCCGTGTTAGTCTGTATTCACAAAAAGGAAAGGAGTACTTTTCATTGGATGCTGTAGCTCACGAAAGCTTATGCTCAAATAAATTTGTTAGTTTCTAAGCTCTGGTCTACACTAGGACTTTAGGTCGAATTTAGCAGCGTTAAATCGATGTAAACCTGCACCCGTCCACACGATGAAGCCCTTTATTTCGACTTAAAGGGCTCTTAAAATCGATTTCCTTACTCCACCCCTGACAAGTGGATTAGCGCTTAAATCGGCCTTGCCGGCTTGAATTTGGGGTACTGTGGACACAATTTGACGGTATTGGCCTCCGGGAGCTATCCCAGAGTGCTCCATTGTGACCGCTCCGGACAGCACTCTCAACTCAGATGCACTGGCCAGGTAGACAGGAAAAGAACGCGAACTTTTTGAATCTTATTTCCTGTTTGGCCAGCGTGGCAAGCTGCAGGTGACCATGCAGAGCTCATCAGCAGAGGTGACCATGATGGAGTCCCAGAATCGCAAAAGAGCTCCAGCATGGACCGAACGGGAGGTACGGGATCTGATCGCTGTATGGGGAGAGGAATCCGTGCTATCAGAACTCCATTCCAGTTTTCGAAATGCCAAAACCTTTGTCAAAATCTCCCAGGGCATGAAGGACAGAGGCCATAACAGGGACCCGAAGCAGTGCCGCGTGAAACTTAAGGAGCTGAGGCAAGCCTACCAGAAAACCAGAGAGGTGAATGGCCGCTCCGGGTCAGAGCCCCAAACATGCCGCTTCTATGATGAGCTGCATGCCATTTTAGGGGGTTCAGCCACCACTACCCCAGCCGTGTTGTTTGACTCCTTCAATGGAGATGGAGGCAACACGGAAGCAGGTTTTGGGGACGAAGAAGAAGATGATGATGATGAGGTTGTAGATAGCTCACAGCAAGCAAGCGGAGAAACCGGTTTTCCCAACAGCCAGGAACTGTTTCTCACCCTGGACCTGGAGCCAGTACCCCCTGAACCCACCCAAGGCTGCTTCCTGGACCCGGCAGGCAGAGAAGGGACCTCCGGTGAGTGTACTATAAAATACTATAAAATATGTAAAATATATAAAATATGTAAAATACTATACATGGTTTAAAAGCAAGCATGTGAAAGGATTACTTTGCCCTGGCATTCGCGGATCTCCTGGATGTACTCCCAAAGCCTTTGCAAAAGGTTTCTGGGGAGGGCAGCCTTATTGCGTCCTTCATGGTAGGACACTTTACCACTCCAGGCCAGTAACACTTACTCGGGAATCATTGTACAACAAAGCATTGCAGTGTATGTTTGCTGGTGTTCAAACAACATCCGTTCTTTATCTCTCTGTGTTATCCTCAGGAGAGAGAGATATAATTCATGATCACCTGGTTGAAATAGAGTGCTTTTCTTCAGGGGACACTCAGAGGAGCCCGTTCCTGCTGGGCTGTTTGCCTGTGCTAAACAGAAATGTTCCCCGCTGTTAGCCACGGGGAGGGGGGAGGGTTGAGGGGGTAGCCACGCGGTGGGGGAAGGCAAAATGCGACCTTGTAACGAAAGCACATGTGCTATGTATGTAATGTTAACAGCAAGGTTTACCCTGAAAGAGTGTAGCCACTGTTTTATAAAATGTGTCTTTTTAAATACCTCTGTCCCTTTTTTTTTCTCCACCAGCTGCATGTGTTTCAATGATCACAGGATCTTCTCCTTCCCAGAGGCTAGTGAAGATTAGAAAGAAAAAAAAACTCACTCGAGATGAAATGTTCTCCGAGCTCATGCTGTCCTCCCACACTGAGAGATCACAGATGAATGTATGGAGGCAAATAATGTCAGAGTGCAGGAAAGCACAAAATGACCGGGAGGAGAGGTGGCGGGCTGAAGAGAGTAAGTGGCAGGCTGAAGACAGGGCTGAAGCTCAAATGTGGCGGCAGCGTGATGAGAGGAGGCAGGATTCAATGCTGAGGCTGCTGGCGGACCAAACCAGTATGCTCCAGTGTATGGTTGAGCTGCAGCAAAGGCAGCTGGAGGACAGACTGCCACTACAGCCCCTGTGTAACCAACCGCCCTCCTCCCCAAGTTCCATAGCCTCTACACCCAGACGCCCAAGAATGTGGTGGGGGGGCCACCGGCCAACCAGCCACTCCACTACAGAGGATTGCCCCAAAAAAAGAAGGCTGGCATTCAATAAATTTTAAAGTTGTAAACTTTTAAAGTGCTGTGTGGCATTTTCCTTCCCTCCTCCACCACCCCTCCTGGGCTACCTTGGTAGTCATCCCCCTATTTGTGTGATGAATGAATAAAGAATGCATGAATGTGAAGCAACAATGACTTTATTGCCTCTGAAAGCTGTGATCAAAGGGAGGAGAGGAGGGTGGTTAGCTTACAGGGAAGTAGAGTGAACCAAGGGGCAGGGGGGTTTCATCAAGGAGAAACAAACAGAACTTTCACACCGTAGCCTGTCCAGTCATGAAACTGGTTTTCAAAGCTTCTCTGATGCGTACCGCGCCCTCCTGTGCTCTTCTAACCGCCCTGGTGTCTGTCTGCGCGTAACCAGCAGCCAGGCGATTTGCCTCAACCTCCCACCCCGCCATAAATGTCTCCCCCTTACTCTCACAGATATTGTGGAGCACACAGCAAGCAGTAATAACAGTGGGAATATTGGTTTCGCTGAGGTCTAAGCGAGTCAGTAAACTGCGCCAGCGCGCCTTTAAACGTCCAAATGCACATTCTACCACCATTCTGCACTTGCTCAGCCTGTAGTTGAACAGCTCCTGACTACTGTCCAGGCTGCCTGTGTACGGCTTCATGAGCCATGGCATTAAGCAGCCCCAACAGTAGATTTGCCCACTACAAATTGATTCCCAACTGACCGGTAGCTGTCTGGCATTGCAAGCTTCCACAGGGCTATTGCCACTCGCTTGTGAACTGTGAGGGCTGCTCTCATCTTGGTATTCATGCGCTTCAGGTTAGGGGAAAGCAAGTCACAAAGTTCCATGAAAGTGCCCTTACGCATGCAAAAGTTTCGCAGCCACTGGGAATCGTCCCAGACCTGCAACACTATGCGGTCCCACCAGTCTGTGCTTGTTTCCCGAGCCCAGAGTTGGCGTTCCACAGCACCATGATGCATGCATTGGCAAGGCCCATGCTTTCAGAGAAATCTGTGTCCATGTCCTGGTCACTCACGTGACCGTGCTGACGTCGTCTCCTTGCCTGGTATCGCTTTGCCAGGTTCTGGTGCTGCATATACAAATGCGTGTGGTGTTTAATGTGCTCCTAATTGCCAAAGTGAGCTGAGCGGCCTCCATGCTTGCCTTGGTATGGCGTCTGCACAGAAAAAAGGCGCGGAACGATTGTCTGCCGTTGCTCTGACGGAGGGAGGGGCGACTGATGACACGGCTTACAAGGTTGGCTTCAGGGAGCTAAAATCAACAAAGGGGGTGGCTTTACATCAAGGAGTATTTCAGGCAGGACTTCACGGAGGGTTCCAATAAGAAATGGTGCACCTAAGTTATTGTTCTTATTGGAACAAGGAGGTTAGTTTGGCCTCTGATTGATACATGGCTAGATTTACCTCGCTGCACCTTCTCTGTGAGTGACTGCAGTGTGACCTAGAGGAATGAGTCCCCTAGACAGGGGAGGGGAGGAGGCAAATGAGTACAAAACAAATCTGGTCTATTTCTTGTTTTGATCCACTCCATCTATCTTTTACATCTTTGGCTGGCAGCAGATGGTGCAGAAGGACTGCATGCCATCCACATCTCATGGCTGCTCGGCAGAAGATGGTGCAGTAGGACTGCTAGCCATCCTCATCTCTTGCCTGCCTGGCAGAATAAGATGCAATAGGACTGCTAGCAATCCATATCGCCTGCCTGCTCACCATAAGACGGTTCAATAGGACTGACTGCAGGACTAAAGAGAATGACTTGATCAAGTCACTCCAGATTTAGTTCCTGCGCCCATGTCTGCCCAGGCGCTCCTGATCGACCTCGCACAGGCGACCAGAAGCACCTCAGACATGACGATGACAGCTACCAGTCCTATTGCACCGTCTGCTGCCACAAGGCAAGGGGTTGCTGCTGCTGTGTAGCAAAGCAGTACCGTGTCTGCCAGCACCCAGGAGACATACGGTGACAGTGAGCTGAGCGGGCTCCATGCTTGCCGTGGTATGGCGTCTGCACAGGTAACTCAGGAAAAAAGGTGCAAAACGATTGTCTGCCCTTGCTTCACGGAGGGAGGGAGGGAAGGGGGGCCTGACGATATGTACCCAGAACCACCCACGACAATGTTTTAGCCCCATCAGCCATTGGGATCTCAACCCAGAATTCCAATGGGCAGCGGAGACTGCGGGAACTGTGGGATAGCTACCCACAGTACAATGCTCCAGAAGTCGACGCTTGCCTCAGTACTGTGGAAGCACTCTGCCGAGTTACTGCACTTAATGCACTTAGAGCATTTTCTGTGGGGACACACACACTCGAATATATAAAACCGATTTCTAAAATAACGACTTCTATAAATTCGACCTTATTCCGTAGTGTAGACATACCCTAAGGTGCCACAAGTACTCCTTTTCTTTTCGCAGACATTCAATAATTCAAAAAGTTAAAGCTTTATAATCGCTAAAAGACAAAATAAATATCCTTAAATCAAACTCTAGTAAGTTCTCAAGTAGCATTTTTCTTACTTAGCCTCTCTATACATTTTGATTAGCAAAGATGGAAATATTTTTTCCGAGGTTCATGTGTACTGTGAAATCAACACTTGCCAGTAAAAATCTAATCCTTCCAAGCTTAACTGTATCTCTGCTGTATGATGTGCTTTAAATCCTGGATAAACTTCTTCACATAAGATTATACATTTTTTTAAACTATTGGTATATCAAATATGGGGATGTAAACAGGAGAACAATCCCTTTAATATGCTAATTAGCATTTCTAGATTCATATGGAGGAATGGGAAACCTATAGTTTTGTAGTGAGACATCTCGTTCCGTTGAGTTTTTGTGGATTGATAGTGCAACAGGACTATGCGAAAATTCCTACACACATATTTGTGGGAAACCACACCTTTGCACACCAAAGATTCCTGCATATGATCAGTTAGGTGCTCATGTAAACATGCAATTCTGTGTGTACAGTAGGTGTGTCTTTGTGGCTTTACTTGCTGTATCTGCAGCTGAAAATGTGACTAATTTTAAACAGTCTTGTACTATGGAGATACTAACAGCTTTTAATACTAACTAAAAATTATCTATATGTAAGTTCCTTACATATGTGAGATTTTTATCATGCTGTATATTAAACAGGCAAACATTACGAAATGTTATTTTTTATTGCTAAATGCATGTAGAATAATCTTGTAATGCTCAAGGCTAAGTTTCTAGTTTTCAGTATGAGTTGTTCCTTCACAATTCTGTTGCTTCCATTTTTTCTTTACATTTTTAAATGTTTTTTGTAGTTCAGAAGTTGCTTTTTGCCTCATTGCAGTGCTTTCTTAGGACACAGCATCAGGTAATAGAAGTAGACAGGAAATGTGCTATTGCTCCCCAGAGGATGATTAAACAAGTCTGAAGAAGTAACCTGATGTTCCCACAAAAACGCTCTTATATAACAATATGGGATTGTTAACTATGTTTTCCCTAAGTATTGAACAGATTTTTAGAAAACATTTTTAGAAAACATGGTCTCACATTAAATCAGACATTGTGGTTCAAGAAATAATCATGATACACACAATAAAGAAGCATAATAAATGAAATAAATTATTACATACTTAAAGCCCTATCACAATTGGTTTTTGTTTAAATTCTTCAAAAATAACTTTACAATCCTCCACCAATCTTTGAAGCACGCTTATAAATAAAGGACTCTTATCCTGCAGCCCCTTACTCTGTTGACTAAAAGGTTACAGATTGAGTCCTAAAGACACTGTGGGACAAATTTTGGAATGAATCCCATTCTCTTTCTTATGGAAGTAATCCAGTTTACTTCAGGGGGCTGCTTTATTAAGTAAAGGAAAAAGAATTTGGCCCTCTGCTCTCAGTTACACTCAGACAATCCTATTGTAGGGGCAGAATTTGATTCACAGCTTTTAAAAACATAATTTTTATTCTTTCCTTCTCTGCCTTTTGCTTCTCTGATGTTTTCCCTGAATATGATCTTAATAATATATATTAGCATTAGGCTGGGTTATTATAGGTATTTATGAGTCTGAGCCATTAACATTTGCAAGTATATCTTCTTGAGAAACTTGTTTTGTGTGCATTTTATTTTCTTTAGTGAAAGGTGTGTATATATAATTTACAGTTTTATAGTTTTTCTTTTCCATATTATGTGAAAAATGGAATACTTATTTTATTTTGATGGTTCTAAATAAAATTCTAGTCAATGTGATTTTACAACAAGAATTTTATCTTTAGAGCTGTAAAATAGATTATTTGAAGTCAGATGGGGGCGGGGAATAGATCCCTCATAGCACATTGTGTCTTCTAGAGTATAATTTATAATGTATGTTTGTTTCCATTGGCGAGAACATACAATAAATATATTGGAACAGACTATTTTATGGTGGAATTAGGTTAGAGTTGTATTTTTTCCATGTGTTTTAAGAAAATAGTAGAAATACTGTTAATTTCCAGGTTAATACTGAAGCACTTATGGTTTTTATTTTATAAATTATAAAGATTTGAAACTGTAAGAGGTAGAGATGGAGTTGTGACCACCTGTGAAATTTGACTATGTACAACTTACGAATTCTCATTGATGTTATGAAGTCATTGTGAAATTATTATGTCACAGAATGCCTCTACATGGATTCCACTATTTGCTCAGAGGGGCAGTAGCACATATGTTCCAGACGAGGGACAATGGAGAGTCATTAACCTTAATGACTGTGCTGTGACCAGACAATGAGTATGCTGAGGCAGTTAGCTGGAGCTGAGAGAAGCTAGTTCCTTCAACTTGTCTTCAGAGAGGGAGAATTGGAGAGTGGAACAGTCCCAAACAGGACAGAGGTGGGAAATCAGGGATTTAAAAAGGACTCAGAAAGAACAATGGGGAAGGCTTTTGGAGGGACAGGAAGTTTTGGACAGGAACAAGGAAGAGGCAGGCGTACTCTTGAAGCAAGGGGGTCCAGTTTAACTGTATGACTAACCAAGAACAGAGAAAACTAGCAGACCTAGAAAAGGCTCTATCATTCTGAGGAGAAGCTGTAAGCTGCAGGGGAAGGATC